AGACCTGAGGGAAGTTGTAAGTTGTACGGAAAAGAGGTAATAAATTCGAATTCCGTTAGATAGTGACAGTCCAATGAGAACTGGAGAGCTATCAAGACAAATTTACAATGCCTCTTAACTGACAAAATAAAATTCTTATTTTATGTAAATTATTGTACATGATTAGACAAAATACAAATGCCCGTATATCCAGGGTTAGAAAGAACATTTTCCAAAAATTTGGTTGCAGCCTGCTAACTGGAAGGAAGCACATATATTTCCAAAATTCACAATGAACGATCACCCCGTTAAAGTAGAAAGGCGAAAGTAAATTTGTTCCCGCGCTTAACGTATTAAGCACTATGCTATGAAGGCGTATGGGAGAGTGGATGTATAGATCCTCACTTTCTTGACCTCGGCACTAGTTGGAGTTGAGTGTTCGGCTTCAAGCTCTTTCCGCTTTACCACGGGAGAAATAGTCCCGGTACGCATTGGATAGGAGGCTCGATGGGCCCCAGAACTGGTCTGGACGACGTGGAGAAGAGAAAATTCTTGACCCTACTAGAACTCGAACTTCGATCCCTCGGTCGTCTAGCCCACAGCCAGTCAGCTATCCTGGCTGACCACCCCGTTTGAGTACTGGAACGAGAGGAAAGTAATTTAACGCAAGGGATGGCCTTGTCGCTGGCTGCACGGACCTTGAAATCATGCTCTATTCTCCGTTACACTTATTTCGAACTGTAATTTTTGTTTCTGCAGTTTTGAAAGCGCCGATTCACACAGATTCATAGACAAAAAGGAAGTAACGTCCCTATATCTACACTTTAAATCTGGGCGAACTCCTTTTACTTTTCAGAGAGGCCAAAATTTTATCAGAAGAACATCTATGTATCTATCTTTCAAATCCGTGTTTGTTGGAATGCCAGTTTATTACTCATAGTGTTTTGTTACATCTAGTATTCCTTGCTACTTGGGATGAACGTAAAATAGTTTCATAACAAATAAAGACCTACAGCATGTGGAAATTCTTTTATCGTAATATGGAGGTTTAATAGATATTCAATTATGTCTGATAGAACCTCATCGCTTGGCCGACTCTCAAGTTCGTTAAAAACAATCATTCAATTATGAAAAAATTCTGTGATATATTTTATTCGTCGTAAATTCTCCAAAACTCTACTTTAGGAGAAAACTCAATTTCTTCCGGTACCAAGCTACTTGTTACAGTCATACCTAGCAATTAAAATTTTAGTTAATATATTTTTGTAAAAATATATATTGGGTATGCTAACCTCCAAAACCACATCCTGTCACACAAATGCAATGAAAGCTGGAATGGATGGTCAGCAACGAATAACAAATTTCTTAAATATACGAACCAATCGCTCTGCCTCCTATTAAGTAGTAAAACGCCGTCTGCAGCAGCAGCTGTACCTGACAGTCGAAAAGCGAAATTAAAATTGTTCACTTCAGATTCCTTATTTCATATAATTTGCAATGTTCACAGGCTCGTCTGCTGCCAATTTCTGTGGGTTTGAAACTTCCCAGGAAGTGCCTGACGACAAATAATGCAGTGGGGTTGCTAGTCCATTCAGGCGCAATGACATTAACATGTACTAAGACCACGAGTGATCGAAACCATGGACTGTGCTTCATCTCTGCGATTCCAAAAACATTATTTCCAACTATGATTTTGTTTAGCCATGTACCGGTCAGTTAGATTGAATTGATCATCTCCTGTAGCATGAGATGGCAAAGGTTTGTACATAAGGACTTTGTCTTCAAATTTATTGCTCAAATCTGCGTGTATCTCACAAATTCAAGCAAAACAGACAATTCGAAACGTCAATGAATTCGTTAACTTGCACAGCAAAAGGTGTACTGTTTGCAATTCATTTTATAAATGTAAGATTTGAGGCTTTCACGGCGGTGACTATGAAGAAAGCAGTCTTCTGGGATTTGGCACCGTGTATATGTGGTGTTAACCGACGTTTCGGAGNAGCTGTAAAATTCGGAAGTGTGACATTTCTGATAACATTCAAGTGCCTGTCGGCACGCACACCCGATACAGTATATTCTGCTCAATACTCGTATATGATGCAGAATTCTGGCAGTCCTGTGGTCTCCCCTGCAACGAGCAATGTGATTTCTCATGTTGTGTGGTGCTTCACATGCATTTCCATTTTCATCTTTATTGACTGATGTCACATGAGTTTGAAAATGCGACTTTTCGTCATAATTATGCAGGTAATCGCGGTAGGTTTGTCTTTATAGACATCATGTTTTATATGTAAAATTCGTAATTTTGCGGATATGGAGCTGTTTTCTGAGGGTAATGTTTTGTAACATAATATACACCGGCCGTCAGATGCGCTTGAACCGCCAATGGAGAGAAATCTAAACTGGTGTTCGCTGCCATTAAACTTGCGTTTCTGTTCTAACAGTATCTCTATTTATTTAGTTATGAAACGTCGATCACGGTGGCCGCTCGGTCTAAGGCATGAACTGTCTTCGCTCGCTGGAACGCTGGGATCTTGGGTTCAAACCCACTCAAGGCGTGGATATCTGTGTATGCGTTTATTCTGTGTTTGTGTTGTTCTGTGTGTAGGTAGAGGCCTTTTTTTTCCTTGGCACTACAGCCCCAGTGGGCCTAGGCCTACCTCCATGAACTTCTCCGTTCACTTCGGTTTTTCTAGATCTTAGACATACGGTAGGACTCCTTGGGCGGGTGATCAACTCGTCGCAAGGCCTCTACCTGTACACAAACACAGAAGAACGTACACAAACATCCATGCCCTGAGTGNCGTATCATCCTTCCGTTGGAAAATGATACGCAACGGGCTGTTCGCTCGCTTGGCGGTCTTTTCCCGTCGCATCAAAGGGACGACTCGGGTTGCAGTGGTGCCAGTCTGGACGTGTAGGCGGCTGCATCGCGTGTTGCTTATCAGCTCCAGACAGTTGGAGTGCAGTCATCACCAGTGTTCGTTCTTCTGTTTGTGATTCTCTGTTTATATACTCTGAATGGAGTGGAGCAAGGAGAGCTTTATGCCAAGAAGAAATTTTATCGCGTTGCATCGGTTGATACACAACGGAGATTCGCAACAAGTCTGGACGCAAAATGTTGTCGCGTTGCATCGGACGATACGCAACGGAGATACGATAGAGGGATATGCAACAAGTCTGGACCCGGCTGATTGCTCGGCTACCGTGATCGGCTAGGTAGAGGCCTTGCGACGGTCTAATCCCCCATCTAAGGAGTTCTACCCTCTATGTAAAGAAAAATTTATGAAACTGAATAAAAGGCCAGGGCCCAACAAAATGCTGTAGAGTCATTGATCAAAGAACAATGAAAATTTATTAAATAACTGAAGTACGTAATTGTAGCCCAAGCCGCTTTCTTGTAACCTCGTAAATTGGCCATGTTTTTGTGTTTTCGCGTTCCATTGAATTTCCCCTTTGATCCAGAAATCCACTTAAGGGTTCAAGAGAATAAATATTTACGTATTCATTAATATTTAGATATTACGGTACCGAGCTTGAAAAGCAGTAGGTACCACTCTCTCCCAGGCATAACATTATGAAAACTGGGCACCAGAATTGCATTGGAAGCAGTGTCATTCAGCAGTAATTTCAACTGCACCAATGCCGCAGCCTTACTTACTTACTTATTTACTCACGGAGCTGAGCCGTTCTGGAGGAGCCGTCAATTCTGTTGCTACTCAAGAATTTCAGAGTTCCTTCTGGCTTTCCCACCAATATCCTATATGCATCTCCTGTCCATTTTCTTCAGCCAAGGTCCTTTATCCAAAGGATCCGTCCAGGTCCGAGGTTTTGTGTTCATTTTCGTAACATGATTATTTTTAGGGTGAGGGGTTGTTAGCCCCACACCCAACCCCTAAGCTGGAGGACCACCCCTTGTCGGCTGTCCGCGACTGATTATGCAATATATTCGCAGCTTCCCTCCATACCTGGAGGGCTTCTCCCCATTCCGCAACCTGACGACGCGCCATGCCGTGGTGACAAGGGACCCACCTAACATGGACCAATGCCGCCGCATGCATCCGAAAGGTACACGCCTATGAACTTACAGAGCTTCAGTGATAATACACAACAGTATGCGTACCAGATGATTTACATTTTGGTGTCCCTAATCCTGTATACGCCGGACACTGTAACCGAACGTTCTAAGGCATGCACTGTCTTCGCTTGCTTGGAAACCGGGATCGCGAATTCCAATCCAATTCAGGGCATTCATGTTTAGTGTTTGTGTGTGTTAGTTCGTTTTTCTGTGTTTATGTACAGGTAGAGGCCTTGCGACGAGCTGATCACCCGCCCAAAGAATCCTACCTAATGTATAAGGTCTAGTAAACCCAAGTGAGACGGAGAGTTTGATGGAGGGAGGCCAAGGCCCAAATTGGGGCTGTAGCGCCAAAGGAAAAAAGTGCTGTATACTTTGATTCAAAATAATAACGAAAATTCAGCAAAGTTAACTATATGCTTGTGATAGCAAAGGCGTTGGAAAACGAATTAGTGTGCCATTAGGCAGTATTTTCTCGGTTCCGCTGAACACATTTTGAGCAGCACTGGCCTATGCAATAGTTTAATGTGTTCTCCAAGTAAAAAGCTCCATGACCTGTAGTCCGCAAGCGAACTACAACGACCGAGCTACCGCCGCTTGTCGGTGAAGTTAATGTCAACTTTTGCGGATAGAGTGTGTCACGAGGTCACTGAAACGTGTCCTTTAAATAATGTATTATTTTTAAGGTGTAGGGGTATATTCACGCATGTATGCACAATATAATCCATGTTATATATTCTACGTCTTTATGCATTTCTTCAATCACAGGAAGATGTAGAAGGCTAAAATTTGTACTATGCATGATAGAGAAGAAGTTGCTGATTTGTTGAAGTGTTTACCGTGTAGCACAAATATTACTGAACGTTTTGTGGAATTGTACGATTCCTACTTACATCTGCATTACAAACACTGCATCAAATGAGGCAATAATTTAAGTGCTTACTTCTGATGAAAGTTGACCACAGGGTCCTCCATGACGTCGCGCATGTTGATCATCTTGCCATAGCGCAGCACGTCTGGATGTTTCGTCAGCATTAGCCAGCCCACGTGGGCGAAGAAGAAACCTCGCTGCGCGTTGTGTGGATCAGCGTCTGTTTCGCTGAACTTGTGGTGCACCCGGTGGTCGCGTACCCATGCGAATATCGTATTCTGTCGGCCAGTGAAGATATTACAATACATTTAGGCATTTGGTAACCTGATTGCCGAACACTTAAAAACTCTAGGGGTGAGAGCACACCAAGGAAACTGGCAACTGCAATTTCCCAGAAAAATCGCCGATTTCAAGCAGGCAGCTGGTTTCCAGATTATCAGGCGCACACTGAGGAAACATGTTTGAGTAGTTTCTTTTTATTGCTAATGGTGTGGGACTAAGTCCCTTGTACTGCGGCCACATCTGGCCTATTGTACCAGCCCCAGATGATAGGTGAGGGTGATTGTGGAGCAATTGGTGGGATGAAGATTGGCGGGGGAAACCGAAGTACACGGAGAAAACCTTCTCAAGCTCCACTTTGTCCACCACAAATCCCACTTGACCAGAACCCGGGCCGCCGCGGTGGGAAGCCATCGGCTAACCGCTTGAGCTATGGCGCGGCCCTTGTTTCAGTAGCTGCTCACATTTAAGTGGGTTTGTTCGCCCGACGTAATACATGATTGTATTTTTTAACTTCGTGCACTTACCTTCTGCAATGGTGCATGATAACAATACTGATCCTATCATAATGTGGTGGTAGTTTAGACAGGTTGAGACGACGTGAGAAGAAAGGACAACGACCATAAGGGAAATATTGGAATGTTAATTAAGGTCAATTTATTTTAATCAGGAAATATCACGTTCACACGCGATACGAAATTTCATCACATAGTACAACTGTTTTAACAAGATGGAAGCGACCTGATGATGTCCGTATAGAGACGAACGATGTAATGTGGAAGAAGGGTGACTATATAATAAACTGTATTTAAGACGGAAATATATGTGTAATAAATGATATATTAATGCATCAGGATGCTTAAATACAATAATAGGAAAAGAAAATATTGGGTTCATCCGTTCTTCTGTGACAGTTTAACTGAAGTGATTACATTGTTTCGAAAGAACTTAACCAGGATCCAGACTCCTTAGTCTCATGAGAAATTCTTTCTTAAGCCAAATCTACTTTGTCCTGCCTAGCATAGTTTGCGTGGCGTTTACCATATATACCAGACTCTTGCTCAATTAACTGCACAAAAACAAAACTAGCAGCTTCGTCAACCTTTCGTGCCATTTAAGATACAAATGAATCACTGACGCTCGTTACAAAACAGCTGACATTAGGAAACCACACTGCAACGTAATTTGTGAGAAGAATGGCTACTCCGATACCTGGAAGTTGAGTTTCTCAGTCCTTCCGAGAGTTGCATTACCGTTTCCTCAATTTGCCCTGCTCGATTCAGTAAATTTTCGTTCAGCTCAGGCTGATAGCAAATTCTTGGAATATGCGGTTGCCAGTTTCCTTTGTATGCCCTCGCCCCTGCTATTGCTACACTTTACAGTGGAGCATTCGCTGTTTTAAGGCTACATGTACCAAACCGTCTTAGGGTTCCCCATGTTAAACATTCTTCTGCATTGACGGATTAGGCTGTCTGGTCTGTGGCCGTTCAGAATTTGTTAATTCTGAAATTCCAGTCTTATGGACAGTCGGTAGGACCATTTGGACGAGTGATCAGCCGCCGCAAGTCGCTACCAACACATGACAACACCAAGGGAGAATAAACTCGGACATCTATGCCTTGAGTCGGATTCGAAGCCACAACTCTAGTGCTTGAGCCGGCGAAGATTTTTCGTACCTTAGAATCAGCGACCACTGTGATTGGTTTCTTTTAAATAGTAACCAAAAAATATCAAAGGGCTTTTTATAAAGTTTATGGCACTCGTTGATCAAGAAATTCCATGCTTTTATGAAACATTAAAGTTCGTTACCATGTTTACACAGTTATCATGAGTCAGTTCAGCACAGTCCAGATATTTACAACCTATGTCTCTCGAATAGAAGGAAGTGTGCTACTTCATAACGTAGAGGCCATTAATACATTTTCTTAAAAATCTAAATTAAGGTAAAAGAAAAGTAAGATAAAGTCCCTGTGCTTAACTAATTAAGCACTACACCATGAAGACTTATGAGGGAGTGGATGTATAGATCCACATTTTCTTGACCTCGGCACTAGTTGGAGGTGAGTGATCAACTTCATGCTCCGGTTGCTTTATCCCCGGGGAACGTGTCCCCGCTACGCATTGGACAGGAGGTTGGTTGGACCCCAGATCCGATCTGGACGACGTGGAGAAAACAAAATTCTTGACCCTACCGGGACCCGAACTCCGACCTCTTGGTCGTCCGGCCCGTAGCCAGTCGCTATACCAACTACACTATCCCGGCTCACAATCTAAAGAAAGTAGCAACAATATTGAGAACACTCGTTATTACTGTAATTATATAAAACACTCTAGTTATGTAGGTTCTGAGGTTCTCACAGCGGTGGTTATGAAGAGTTCTGTCTTCTGGGATATAGCGCTGTATAGGATCTGAGGTGCTCACAGCGGTTGTTTTGATGAGTTCTGTCTTCTGGGATATAGCGCTGTATAGGATCTGAGGTTTTTTCCTTTAAGATGAACCACCTGATCTTTGGTCGGGTTTGTCTAAAATTAGAAGATGATAGGTGGAGGAGTACGTGACGCTAAGGAGCAGTTACATGGACTTTTGAACATGAGACTAATGAGTGTGTTCTGTCTGAAGTCCGCAGCCTTTGATACCAGAATCGCGCAGAACTCTTGGCTCATGAAACCAAAGCCCACATGATAATCAGGCGAAATACGTGTGAGTATTTGCGAATTAACAGGTCATGTGTTTTCTTCCACAAAAAGAAAGACCTTCGAACAGTGAGGTGATTCTTTCTGGTGACCAATCAGATCTGTAGTTTCTAGTTATTTAAACAAAGCTACTTCAAATCATTTCTTGATAGTTTATGTACAGTCATAAAGTCACGTGGTGTATGATTTGTAGCTAGTCATATAAAGAGAAGCGTCACATAGGTAGGGCATTGTTTGCCAAGATAGCCTCAAGCCTCTGTGTGACCATTCTGTAGTTCAGTACTCTGAGGAAGTGGCAATGAAGGATAGCAGCGCTAATTAGGAAATGGTTATCGGTATTATATAACTGAACAACATCGTTAATTTGGTAGGATTCCTTCGTACCTTGGGGGTCCTAGGTTCAAATCTCACTGCAGGGAAACAACTAATTTGGCTGAGCTTTTTCATAATTTTTCTGAGTCCCTCCAGGCAAATTCTGCTCGACAACAATATCAAACACACCAAATTAGACCCTGTCTGAGTCATTTCGCATGCTTTGAATGTCATTCGTTCATGAATCTTATCATCATTGTACGTCGCATAGTCTGAATTAATGGGAAAGTCATTAACCAAGTCATAGACAACAAAAAAGTGTTATGACAGAGTCAGTATCCGATCATACCGTCAGAATATGTACCTTAACTAATTGTATATAAAGTGTATTTCACACATGTTCTGGTGAAAATTTCTTATATCAGTGTCTACACTATCTATCTATCTATAGCCCGTTGCCGGACCTTGGCCACTTTTTTAGATTCTTGATTTTTTACGCAATCATGGACTCCATGAATGGGGGATCAGCCCGTCTCAAGATCGTTACCTGCAAACAGTACAACACAAACACGGAATAAACGCACACAGTCGTCCATGCCTCAAGTAGAATTCGAACCCACGATCCCAGTGTTTGAGCTGGCGAAAACAGTTCATGTCTTATAATGCTCAGCCACTGTGAACGGCAAGTACCTGCACTGACATCTACAATTCTGTTAGAGAAATAATAACACAAGTCCCCCTTCCAAAAATAGTTAACGCATGATGAATAACTAAGAATATTAGCACATTGTTACGATCAGTCACAACTTTCATGTAACTGAACACCAGCTTTCTAAAACATTGAGACACTACTTCCAGATATTGAAGACACTGCTCAACAGATTTAAAGTGATTGAAAACACAAAATTAAACTAATTCTAATTCTGTATTTCCGCATCCCGTTGTACATCTTTAATTGAACGTCTATGTATTAAGTCCGTCAATAATGCAACAATCATTAAAATATTCACCATTTAACACTAACATAACATGTTTCGGCCACAGACGGCCATCCTCAGGTGTTTCAATGCGTCCAAACTGTTACACTGCTTTGATGCGCGCTTAAATTGCACGTTGCAGTCTACTTAAAATAAGATTTTAATAAAAAAAAATTAATGAATTTTAAGTGGACTGCAACGCGCAATTTTAGTGCGCATCAAAGCAGTGTAACAGTTTGGACGCATTGAAACACCTGAGGATGGCCGTCTGTGGCCGAAACATGTTGTGTTAGTGTTAAATGGTGAATATTTTAATCATTGTTGCATTACTGAATTTTAATAGAATTTTAATTTAACAAATTATATTAAACCTCATTGCATGACTTGGAACGTTCTCCCCGATATGCGGTGCTCTAGTTGCAAATTATTTAATGATTCGTTAAAGAGGACATATGGATAGGCGCGATCTGTCGCATCCGGTCGGTGCACCGTACTTTGACACACCTGTTGTAACTATAGGTTTCTAATTCAATATTCATGCTCTATACATTATGTCAAAATGTACAGAATTATTACGATTTAGTAAAGACGCCTAGAGATGAATACAGAGGAGTTTGGAGAAAACTGCATAATGAGGAGCTTCATAACTTATACTCTTCTCCAAATATAATTAGAACGATCAAGACAAGGTGGATGAGGTGGGCATGTCATGTAGCACGAATGTGGGAGACGAGGAATGCGTATAGGATGTTGGTGGGAAAGCCAGAAGGAAAGAGACCATAGGGAAGACCAAGGCGTAGGTGAGTGGACAATATTAGAATGGATCTTAGAGAGATAGGATGGGACGGTATGGATTGGATAGATCTGGCTCGTGATAGGGACCAGTGGAGGGCTCTTGTGAACACGGTGATGAACCTTCGGGTTCCATAAAATGCTGGGAAATTCTTGAGTAGCTGCAGAATTGGCGGTTCTTCAAGAAGGGCTCAGCTCCATGAGTAAGTAAGTAAGTAAGTAATTGAAGACTCCTGGAGGTCCCTATAGTTTTCCAGTTTCTCGTTCAGTTTGGAGGTTCCATTCCGCCAGCAGTCCTTGGAAAATTAATTCTATATCATCAAGATCATCAAAATCATGCTAGACCCCTGGTCGTGGTATTCAGTGAATTTGTCTGTTTCTTCAACAGAGACTTCTTTCCAGCGCTGAAATCAATGTTACAGATAATCTTCTATACTAACATTTTCAGATGCAGCCTGATTGAGCGATGCGTGTAGATCCTGCGCAAATCTTCCGTTTGTTTCTTTTTCGCTCAAATCACTTGTCGAAATTTTGGTTTTAAGAAAGCACCACTGAGAGCTTTCATTTCTTCTGCTAGCACAGAAATATAGTCAGCAATTTCTGTGGCAGAAAGTGCGGCTTCCATATTGGATAGAAGAATGCTAGAAGCTTCTAGCTACTGGTCGTTAAAAGGTCGTGCCATAGCTAAGGCGGTTAGTCGTCGGCTGCCTGGGTTCGAGCCCAGTTCAAGTCATGTGGAACTTGTGGTAGACAAAGTGGTACGGCGGCAGGTTTTCTCCAAATACTACGGTTTCCCGCGCCAATTCTCATTCCACCGACTGCTCCACACTCATCTATCATCCGGAACTGGTAGAGTAGGCCAGTTAATGGGCGACGTACCAAGTGGACTCAGTCTCACCCCACCCAAAGAAACTTAAACTCCTGGTCGTTAATGAACCTGGGATTGACAACAGTTGGAGTGAGTCAGTTCAGGACATGAATAAGATCTGTTACGCCCTAAGTCGTGATAAAAATGAGGCCCCTATATTATTTCCACGAATGTAAGAATGATATATGTCTGTGTGCAAGTACTTCCCGTCATGTAAGTGTCCGACAGATGCGATTTCATCTTAATGCGATCAACTAATTGAGGTCGATTTCAATTAAGAGGCCTCGCTTTAAAGTGAGTTGTTTGCTGCTCGATTTTGAGTTGCGGAGTCAAGGTGCAGCGGTGTGTGGGAGGCGGTGGAGGAATGCGAGTGGTCAAGGGGAAATTGGACCCCGGCAAGTAACCCCTTCTGCATCACTACTGTTGAGCGATAAGTTAGAGAGTGCTAAACAACTAAAGGTAGATGAACTTTTAAAGAAGTACCAGGTAGTAGATCCACCGTATACCTCTAGTGAATTTTTTTCCATCAACCTGAATGACAATGTGCAAAACTCAGTATTACTGAATTTTTCAGTCGGTTCATTCCTCTTATTTACCACCGCATTCACCTCCTTCTTCGCTGAAGTAGTTCGTCTCTTGAGTCCCCGTTGCCTGCATGCTTCTCATGAGACCCCATAGACAGTAACATAAGGGGCTGAAATGTAGTAAAAGCTGTGGCCATTTCAGCATGCAACCACGATCTTGGGTCCAGCCAACCCCCTATACAATGGGTACCGGGTGCTCCTTTCCCGAAGGTAAAGCTCCCAGGGTGTGAAGCTGACCACTTACCTCCAGCTAGTGCCGAGGTCAAGAAAGTGTGAATCTATACACCCACTCCCCCATACGCCTTCATGGCTTAGTGCTGAATTAGATAAGCACAGGGACAACTTCACCTTTTTTACCACGGCCGATTGATGTGCCAGAAAAATGTTCGTTCAGATATCCCACCTTCAGACGTTTTGAAACTCTATACGTTCCCTTTATTTGGTTCCAATTGATACCGGATTTTTTGGGAACATTGATTCCATTTCAATTGCTTGGAAAATTTTCTGGAGGACTTGCCATAGGGGCCGCGCAATAGCTAAAGCGGTTAGTCGCTGGCTTCCCATTGCGGTGGCCAGGGTTCGATCCCGGGTCTGATCAAGTAGGATTTGTGGTGGACAAAGTGGCGCTGGGGCAGGTTTCCTCCGAGTACTTCGGTTTTGCCTGCCAGTCTTCATTCCACCAATTGCTCCATAATCACCCTCACCTATCATCTGGGGCTGGTACAATAGGCCAGAAGTGGCCGTAGTACAAGGGACTTAGTCCCACCCCACTAGAAATAAAAAAAAATAATACTAGCCATGGGAGTTAGATGTAGACTAAATGTCATCGACCTATACTGAAATATGTAGAGTCAGTATAGACTTTGCTTTGTAAGGGAAATATCACTTAGGGAGAATAACGAATTATTTTCATAGGTTAAAACTTCGCGAAACCTTTGACAGATATTTATTAAACTTGACAGAAGGAACTGTTGTTGTACCATCTGTTGGTTTCATGAACTTCCAATTCATTTTAAAGGCTACGTGTATTTTACATGAGAGTTAAAACGAATTTTAAATGAACTGTCTTCTGAGTTATTTGAAAGTGTCAAATAGAAACTGATACTTTTTGCTTCTGATGTTTGAGTACTGGCATGTGAAAATTCCCATAAGTGTTGTTCACTTTAGATTCTGCACTTGTTAACATTTCAATTCATTTTTGTTTGTATCTCTGTTAAGTACATAGGTATACACGCTTCAGTAAAAATTCATGGGGGTTCCATAAATTATACATGCGACACACAGAGTTACATAAAGCTCGAAATCTTCTACTATAATAATATCTCTTGAGTGTCATCGATGGCTTTTCGAAGCTTCTGCGATAGAGATATTTTTTGACACTAAAATTCGCTCGATTTACAAGGCTAGGCAACACATGTCCTTAGAAGAGAGAGTTCATGCGCAAATGAAATTCGTATATTGCCTCCCGAATGTTTCGGGGTGTTTGTCCGTCAGATAATAATTTGTATAGCTCTGCTTTCCTTTGTTTCTGCATTTTCCAATTATGTACGTGGTCATCCCAGTACACTCCCAGCCTACTTGGCTTCAGCTGGGGTACCGAAAAATACACGACAAAGGCGAACAAGTATGAACATCTAATTTCAAGAACCTACAAACACGACTTCGCACGGCATTTTTGTACAATGGCGAAATTAAATTTGCTTCAAAGCATAATAAATAAGTACATATATATAATACATATATACGTGTGTGTGTGTGTGTGTGATCCTAAGAAATTACATAACTAGGTCGTGGAAGATACAATATCCATGCATACGAGCTTGGTGATTTCCAACCTTTCTTAGAAATGTTAAGGTCACAAAGGAGATTAGATATGCAACTAAAACGAAATTCAATCATTTGTGTGACCTACTCATATCTCGTAGGTTCAAGGCCACTCTGACATTAATGTACGTAGTCCCAAATCATATCCAGGCAGCAGACTTGAACCTGAGAAGCCGATGCTTTGTCGGTCTGTAAAAATATTCCTCACCCTTTACAGAATGAGAAGATCTAACGCGTATTCACAAGAGCCTGCCACTCTCTCCATCGTAAACCAAAATATTGTAGGCCAGAGTTTCACAGCCTGTCTTTTAAATATCCATTCACATATTAAGCTGATCACATTGGTCACGCGGTTTCAGTTATGAAATATCTTCGCCATGTCGAACGCTGCGATCGTGGGTTCGAATCCCACTCAAGGCATGGATGTTTGTCTGCGTTTATTCTGTGTTTGTGTTGCCCTGAGTAGGCAGCGGTTTTCCTTCAGGATGATCCCCCGTCCAAGGACTCCTACCGACTGCCTAAGAAACTGTTAGAAACTGAAGTGAAACGAAGAGTTACATGGATGACAAGTGGGAGCAAGAGGAATAAACAGATAAATAGATAGATAAATTCACATATTATCTTTCATATATTTTCAGATTTTCCTGGCGGTTTCGTCCCTTTAGGTTATCCGACTAAATTTATAGGCATTTCTCATCTCCACTCATGCCTACTGCATACTCATCCTATTCAAATTTCTCCCTAATAATATATGGTGAAGAGTAAGTAATATGAAGTCTTCCTTTATGCAGTTTCCTCCAAATTCCTATTACTTTCTTTCTCTAAGGTCCTGATAATCCCCACAGCCCTCTGTTCTGTGTTGGACTTGAGGTTCTCGCAGTGGTGACTACGATGAGAGAATCCAGAGAGAATTCTTCAGCCACTATTTATGTTCTTCCCTGAGGTTAAGGAACAAATTTTTGTAGTAAAAATATGGTTCTGTGTACTTCAAGGACATATCAAAGCTACGAAACCGTCTGTCAGGTTAGCTTGTGATTCGACCAGGATTCAAAATATTTACTCCCCGACTTGTTCAGATTTATGAATTCTTTAGAAATTATAAATGCTTTGTAATAATCTCATTCCAATATTCAGGGAGCTGTATCTTATGTCTCGGCGGTTATGTGCCTCATGTGTGAAAACAGAACAATCGAACAGCTCGTATCACGTACCTGGCCTGAGACAGAAAAGCACACTGCGAGAATAACTCTGAGTGGCCATTTGGCTTTGTATGAACGGTGGGTCCACAGGCGGTGAACTCCTCCGGTTACGCCGAAACCGCCAGCGACACCGAGGAACACACCTGCAAAGTTCAAATCAGAACAGCTCTGAGCAGGGGGACGTCTGTCATACGCTAAGATCAATTATAAAGTAAACAAGGTAAAGTTGTCTCTGTGCTTAACCAATTAAGCACTACGCCATGAAGGTTTGTTGGGGAGTGGATGTACAGATCCACGTTTTCTTGTCCTCGACACTAGTCGGAAGTGAGTGGTCAGCTTCACGTCCCGGTCATTTTACACCCGGACAAATCGCCACCTTTACCCATTGTGTAGGATGCTGGATGGTTCCCAGAGCCGTTCTGGACATCTGAACGTAGCCGGCCGCTATACCGACTACGCTATTCCGGCTTCAAGATTAGCTATTGACCCCCTAAATACGAGCAGGAACATATAGAGATTAGATTAGGTATAATTTCAGAAAATACAAGGGACTGGACAAACAAAGTCATCAATATGAGTAACAGGTAATCAGGCATTAATAGCCATAGATAAGGCTAGAATTCCTTATATGAAAATCCCGTCTATATAACGTATGTATGAAATGTTGAGTGAATCCAGGATTATGTATGCCTTAGAGCTATGAAGACTAGGTAGACATGGGGGGGAAGTCTAAAAAATACACCTCTGATTTTGTAAGAAACTGTTAGGATAAAACATGCATAATGAATGGTGTGTGGGAAATATGGATAGGAAGGGACAGCTAAGGAAAAATGGGGGTGTGGAAGGTAACAAAATATTTACAATGATTTATACATATGGGCAGCTAGGCCCCGTAATATAATGTTACGACTGGCATAAAGAAAATATGAGAATCGAAAGGTGGACGAAAAAGACGAAAGTGAACCTGGAGAAATAGGTTTCTCAACACATTTTGCAAAATAAGCAAGAAAGTAACGCCAATAGACTAAGCATGCTTACTGAAGTACAGTGTAGCGACAAAGACTTAATTACCTTCTTTACTAAGATATTAAACAGACTTTTATGGGGTATACAAAAATACACCGAATGCTGTATCAGATAAGAAAGAAATTAAATAACGTGGATAATGCGGGACTTTGGAAGCTAAGAGGGATAAAAGGCTTAAGTAATAAAATGCAAAATATATAGCGTTCCGCTGTCCAGAAACAAAAACACTGAGAATACAATTTTTATACAAGTGACTAAGCATGAATGGAGAAGTAGCTTATAGAAAGGAAATAAATTGTACAAATATAACATATGCAAGGAACACAGAAAAGTATTTGGATATATTTTGGCATAGATGAGGAGAAAGGAACGGAGGAATTAAACTGTAAATATGAAAGGAAAAAGACATTTCTTGACCTGGAAGGAACTCTACACCTTATTCAAAACGTTCTATGTGGTGTACAGATTTACATTCACATTCAAAGCGAACATAACGCAATAAAAATTCTATTCTATTCTGTGACATAATTGCAAGGGAAATTTTCCCTAACATGCAATTGTTAAATACGAGTACACTTCTGCTTTTAATTTTTTCGAGACATCCTTTATTTCATAAGGATACTAATATGTCTGGCATTATGATGTCAGTGCATATATATATATATATATATATATATGTCTGCACTGCAATAATGCTTTCAAAAATATTCTATTATTTTTGCGAAGCTTTGTTTGAAGTCATATCACTAACGGCCACTCCAGCTTTGCGCATAATGGACTAGGTGGAGGTGAGTAGTCAGGTTCATGCCCCGGCCGCTTTACATGTTTCAAGTTAGGGAGATTCAGATTAAATAAAAGGCGGAAATTTTTATGGCCAGTTGTCTAATAATTAATTCTGTTGCACGAAGTTATCGAACAGTTCAATGATCTAACTAAACTGCTACTTCTCTTTGTTATTTCTAATTCTCAACTCAGTTTAAAAATATTGCCACTATCCGCACTTGCGTTGAAGTCTCCTTATACAAAATATCATGGGAAGAATTAAACGAACCAGTTGTTAGAATTTATTAATAAACATGCTTTATATAATTGATTTAAGCCCCATTGTTATGAAGTAATTTTAACGTCGAGTTTTAAATCGAAACATTAGCGAGGGACATACCCATAAATATTCACGTCCGCAAAATGCAAGCCACATCGCAGGCCCTCTGTAGGGTCCATGGCATTCAAATAATTTTGAAGGTAAATATGTATTGCGTTGTGATCCTGCTGCTCAGGGTCGCCAATCGGCTATCAGTAGGGAGTCCAAAAATGTGCAACCTTACTCACATTAACTCAGTAAGCGTAGCTGTAGCTACGCAACGTAGCGTATACGAGCATAGAAAACAAAGACATTAATCTCTTTCATACCCCGTTTTTATTTCATGTAAATACTTTCAGTTACATTGGGAATGGTGTGGTTACGTAACATGCGTGACTCGCCGTCATCCTAAAAACAATGAATTAATGACATTGTTTATTTTCTGCGAAATTGTGATAATAGAAATTTACATTCCCCTTTTCCTGAGAAGATTAGTAAAGCAAGTGTCACGTAACTTCGAACAAGGCCAAGAGTAACCTTGAATGCGCAGAAGACAATTTTCAGACAAGGGGGTGTGTTCGAGGGTGTGAGAAGTGACAGACGGCCAGTTGTTTGTACAACTGAAGTAAACTGCACACACACTGAATTAATATATTCGGCTTTCAGTAATGTCTAGTTTTACATTTCCATTTTAACTGGCATAAAGACCTCCAACTAGTGCCGAGGTCAAGAAAATGTGGATCTATGCCCCATAAGTCTTCATAGAGTAGTGCTCAATATAGTTAAGCACAGGGACAACTTTACATTTTACAGGAATAAAGACAGTTGTTCACTGCAAGAAATGAATGTCAGATGATTAATATAATTCAGTTCATATCCTAAAAACGAAATGATGTAACGTCATGCATGCATTTACACGGAATTCATCTTACAATTTATTACATTTATTTTAGACAATCAAAATGGCACCCTTTCTACCTTACTCTGCTGGCGCTCCATAGTGATTACTTTATTTACAAACGGCAGCCAAATAAAGGAAAGCGGTGGATGTTTGCAGTTATATGCATTGAAGAATATCCTGTTGCACTCCATACGATAAATGATATAAACTCCGTCTCAAGTGCAAACAATATATTCTGTGTCTTTGACCTTGCTCCCTACACTACATGTTTCGGCCTCACGCGGCCATCATCAGGTGTATAACACTCACGTCGCTGTCACACTGCACCCAGTTCAAAATTTAACATCTAAAACACTCTCCCTGTCATTATCAACTTCTACTTCGTTGATAGCTGTCCACCCGTAGATTACTTCACACACATTAATTTTGACTTTATTGTAATAGCACCATAATAAAATCTTTAGTTCTAATTTTAAACCTTTAAATTCTTGTCCAAATTTTAAAATTGTTAGGGTTATTCGCACTTCAAACACAGGGAGAGACAGGGAGAGTGTTTTAGATGTTAAATTTTGAACTGGGTGCAGTGTGACAGCGACGCGAGTGTTATACACCTGATGATGGCCGTCTGAGGCCGAAACATGTAGTGTAGGGAGCAAGATCAAAGACACAGAATATATTGTTTGCACTTGAGACGGAGTTCATATCATTTAGCATTGAAGAAATCCAATTATGATCCTCAGGGATCAGAAATTTTTGGAGAAAATATGGAACAAAATTTCGAATGGTAAATGATTATAGGAAAGTTCAGCACATCTCTGATAACAAAAGCCTGCCATTGGAGAAGATCCTGGGCTAGTCTCGTCGACTTATCAGCCTAACAGATTTTCTGCGTTATATCTTAATATTCTCTGTCCATCTTTTCTCGGTCTTCTATCATGCGTGTGGGTGATAAGATGTTGGAAATGCTGGTGAAGAAGATACTCACCCCAGAGAAAGGTTTGCCAGCGCACCAGAGGTGTGACGGTGATTATGGAGTACAGTGCTAACAGGTGTATTGCAGTGATGCTGATGGTATTAACCCATTTAATTTTTTGTTTTTTCCCTTTAATGCTGTGCTCTTTATCCAGAGGGTCTCCTTGCGTCATCTTGTCTCCGTGGTCGCTAAAATCTGCGAATGACAAAACATTTTCAATTGTCCAACCAGAGAATTTGCGGATACATCTGTGTCGTCTGCGTTTATTTTCCTGGTTCTCTCACACTCTTATTTTTGCAATCTTAATATTTTACTATGCTATAATTTTTATGTGGGGTACGCGGTAGCCGCAATTTGGCCCTAAGGTCGACTCAGTCTCTAACAAAAATGAAAACCAGAAATCTTCCTAGAGGTAAAGTGCTACCGGCGTGTGAGACTGACAACCTCACTGTCATTTATCAGCCCTTTGTCTAGAAAATGTGGCAGCCTCGACGTCTCACAACCCTATGGACCTCCACGGCTTCTTATAGGGATAGTTTTTTTTCATATTTTTTTTATATTTAATATTGGATTCGTACAGTGGGATGTAATTTTTTAACTTGCAAACATAACGGAAATATCGAAGCTGAAAATATACCTAATTTCCATTTCCTGTGTTGTGGAAGATGTTCTTGACGTCGAATCCTGTGTATGAGGATACGATTTGGAGATAATAGACTCCCTAATAGCCATAAAATATTTCTGAAATTTGAGATTCAGCGGCCATGTGATTTTAGACAAAACTATACCCTTTCTCAGCACCCAAGGGTAATTAAAGTACTACTTTTGAAATTAAGGAAAATGGAATACCAGAGTACTATCTTCTGGAATATAACTCAGTGTAGTCCGACGTAAGTAAATTTTGACTTTGATTTTAACTTACTACACGGCGTCGTACCCAGATGTAGTGCTCTTCATAACAACCGGTTACCACCTCAAATTCTACAAATTGGACTACAGTTCGTTATGTAGATATAGCGTCTGTACCCTTAAAATGAAATGCATACTCAGGCTCACAGTGAAGTCCATACTCATTTACATTGGTCTGGGTGTAAAAGAAAGGGGCCACCTTTTAGTGAAACTTATGTATATTTTACCAATCCGACAAGGTATAATATCCAGAAGATATTTTATTTTAACCAAATGACCGAATAAACTACCTTTCCTGCTACTGACGGGCATATTATGTTAGAACCTAAATGCCATAAGTGCTAACACAAATTCCCACCTTTTAACCTGATTTTTATCACCGTAATCTGATACACGTTATAAAAATCTATTTGCTATATTTGCTTTTTATTTGTAATACACGCATATTGCATTAGAATCCAATAGTCGATAAGGCTAAAACAAATTCCCATATTGGGCTCCGATTTTGGGTCAGTATAATCTGAACCACGTTACAAAATTTTTTTCTGAGTTTTTTTTTATTCTGTCCTACAACTTCATCTCCCGTCTTTAATATTGTCGACTTTTGGCTGATTACCTGACCAAAATTCCGATTGAATTCTACAGCCAACATAAATTTGACAATATAATGCTTATTATGACTCAGTCGAAACACTCGTGATAAAAACACGCGACATGTTTCGACTTATTGCAGCCCTCGTCAGCTACATAGAGCCTTTATAATCATCTTTCCCTCTCTTTACTGTATCTCCCTACATTGGCCAGTGTTTACACATGGTGAGTGTGTTGTACTTTTATGTTTTTACGTAATCAATCCATACAATTATATTTCACTTACTTTCAAATTTTGTTCGATGATTTAATAGTATAAATATAATGTAACTGTGGAATTAAAGCACTTTCTACACCATTCACTCACTGTAGTACGAATACCTTCGCTTTTGCTGTAGACGATATTAAGCTTCTGATGTTTTTATTCTCAGATCGAGCAATCTCTTGAATGTGGGCAGCATCAGAAACAACAGAATTTGCTTTAATCATCATTAAATTTTGCAGCGGTGTGTAATATTGCACGTAGCGATACACATCCTGTACAGCCTGTGCTAAAATTAACAGAGAATACGTGTGAATCTTATAGTACAGCTACTTGCACCCAGGCTGAAGCTTTACGAGTAATTTCCAGTGTCCTGTCCACCGGCTTGCTTCGAAGCTAAGAAACCACGCAGATATCAGCTCTAATTCTACTTTTTAATTACCTGGATTTCAAGAGCCATGACTTACTGTGAAATTCTAATTTAATTTTAGAATTTAGCGTCAAATAAATTTTTAGAATTGACTGCATACGTGTAAATTAACTTAGGTCCTACCACTGACTTAGGAATTTCAGTGAATCACTAGCTAACTCGATGGAGATGAGTCCTTCTTGAGAAGCCAACATTTGCTCATCCGTAACAAGAAATTCTCATTAATTAAAGGAATTTATTCTCTCCCGTTCGTGGCACATATCCTAACCACGTCATGCTCCTAGACTTGTCAACCTAATTATATTTTCTGACGAGTAAATGTTATGAAGTTCCTCATGATGCATTTTTATCCAATCGCCCATACAGTAAACTACATATCACTTCATTATTAAATTGTCGTTATCTACATGGACACGTGTCAGCATAATACTCGGTTCTTGCGACAGATAACTGTACATGGTGATATCCATTAATTGTGATCTATTCTCTTCTGCACCTTACAACCGCTACAGTTTTCAGTAACGTTTTTATAACAATTGCATTAGTTAACACAGGTTACGGTTTTTGGATATTGTTTATATGTTTATGTGCTTCCCCCCCCCCTTGGCACTACAGCCCCAGTGGGCCTAGGCCTACATCCTTGAACTTCTCCTTTCACTTCGGTTTTTCTCGATCTTACACATTCAGTAGGACTCCTTGGGCGGGTGATCAGCTCGTTTCCAAGCGAGCGAAGACAGTACATGCCTTAGACCGCTCGGCTACGGTGACCGGCTTGCTCTTTCTTTGCTAGTGCCTTTTTATAATTGGCCTCTGGGCTATTGAGTAAGCAAGCAAATAGATGAACAAATGAAATAATTCCAATTAGGTATTGTTTTCGTTTATGTTATGTATTCATGTATGTCAAGCCGTTTATTACATACAGACCCTTCTTCTCGTTTTAAGAACCGCCTCAGTCATTGAAATATTAGAATATAAACGAAAACCAATTAGCAAAGAATATGCATATTGTGGCATGTAGACTCGTTGCTAGGCAACAGCCTCGAGATAAGCAAATATACAACAGCCGTTACTGAGTAATGTCTTTGCAAACAATCAACAACAGATGAACGGTAGTTTCTGTGTGGTCCGTGCCGAGAAGTGATAAGCAGGACAATTAGTTTAGAGTCGACAGTTGGAGCAGTGAGTTATTTGTGAGACAGTCCCCAGCCGTTAAGAACGTCACCACGGAAGGAGAAGACTTTTTGGGATCCGTCACCAAACAAAGACTATTGAAGGCACAGCAGGCTGAGAGGACTTCAGTGTGTGCTCTAGTGAACTGTAAGTGTGTGAATTAGTGTAACGGGTATAATTATTTATAGTAACGGAACTGTAGGAGTTCAATAAATCCAATTACCAATCCAAACTCCTTATCTAGTCATTCTAATTTGTGAAAATATTTTGATTTTGTAAAACAAATTATTATTATTATTGTTTTAAAAATGTATTAAAATTTACAGTTATTCGAAAAGTTACCCCATTTATGACAATTTTGTAAACGTTCTATTAATCTCTCTTTTTAAATGTTTTTAATAGTGAAATTAAATTTAATTCTTTATCCCTGGAGTCTGTGCTAGTGTCTTATACTATGTTCCGAATATTTTGAATTTTTTGTAATAGAATAATTTGGAATTGTATTTGAGGAAGAAGGTTTTGTTCAAATACAGATTAATATGCGCAATGAAATACACAATTTAATGATCTTTCTGTTTCGTAACTTATTACTCAGGGGATTGCCAAAAGCTACAAAAACGATCAATCGTTGTGGCCACATCCGTCTTACGAAATTTCCTGGTTGCAATAAAATCATATGAATACAAAAGTTTTCCGTGAGTGGATTATTTGGAATTCCCATAATTTTTACAGAGATATGAGAGAAGGAGATGAGAACAGCAGTTCCTGCATGTCACAAAGACTGCCCCCAAATTCGAGATTTATTTCGACCGGACAAATGCTTGAAGATATGAAGTGCACAGCTTGAATCCTCACACAGACTCTTGGGAGAATAAAAATAAAAAACAATTATGCAAAACAGGAGTACATATACAAAATGTCTACTTTTTTGTTTATAAATGTACAAACAGTTTCCCTCAAAACATAATATTTTTAGCAAGGAACATTGAAAGGTTTGTCCAGTGGGATCTGTCTGAATGAGCAAGGTAGATATTAAAGTCGTCCCTATGCTTAACTAATTAAGCACTAGACCGTGAAGAAGTATTGGTGTGAATGAATTACGCTCTGAAGCTGAAGCTTGGCTTTGAGGCACAAATATTGCAGGGGAAACCAAATTGCTGTCCACTAATGCGTTATCTTAGGTGTCAATGATCCACGTGGGAAACTACGTGGTTCGTTAATTCTAAAGCAATTAGTGTGAGGGGTTCCAGAGCAAGATTCAAACCTTGTCGTTACGGAACTTTCTTGCAAATATTTGCAAGTACGATTTCAGTTTCTTAATACACTTGGTCGTCGGCTTACGACCAACTTCCGTTCTGAATGACAGGTCGTAAGTTCTATCTGGTCGTATGTCGGCCATATATTTATTAACAGCATTTTTTAAACTTTCTAATCTTTTTATCACCTTTATAATTTATTTTTAAAAAAGTTTACATTTTAGCCATCTTTTATTTTTCATTTTTTGTGGTCGTAAGTGCGGCCGGTCCTAAGTCGACGACCAAGTGTGTACGTACAAAGCCCAATCTTTAGCCATTCACTCACTCATGGAGCTGAGCACTTCTTGAGAAGCTGCCAATTGTGCAGCTACTAAAGAACTTCCCAGCATTTTATGCAACCCGAAGGTTCATTACCGTGTTCACAAGAGTCCTCCTCTAGTCCCTATACTGAGCCAGATCAATTCAATTAATACCATCCCATCCTATCTCTCTAAGATCCATTTAATATTGTCCGCCCATCTACAAATCTTTCCCCGAAGTATTAATATTGTAGCATGTAGACCCGTTGCTTAGTAATTAGTCTTTAAATAAGGCCCGTTGCTAGGCAACAAGTTCCTAACACACACCAATGAACTAACTGGGAAAAGATGTTCTCTTCGCGGTCGGTGACGCTACAGTAGAATAACTGTTGGTAACGGCGTTTTCTATGCGGTTTGTGCCGAGGTGTTGAAAATGTATTCGGTATATAATCGTGCGGAGGACACGTGTGGAGGCGGGGTCGAATACATCCACGTGACACTTCGAGTCGTAGGAGGCGATGAAAAGAGAAAACTCAAATCAGAGAGACTTAAATATAGTCACTAGTCACAAGGGACTCGGACCCGAGAAAACTGCGCTGGTAAGGACCAGCGGCGTTTACAAAATAAAGACCCGTCCTCACGTCAGAGAAGGTGCCCCACAAAAATAAGACCGTAATTGTCAAACAGTAATAAATATCTGTTGGGGCTCGAAACCAAAACTTACAGACTGACTGACTGACTGACTGACCTTCAGTCGCAAGGTGACTTTGACTTTGACTCGTGTGGAGAAGGAGTCGAATATCTCCACTGCGACCCTGCGAGTCGTAGGAAACGACGAAAAGGGAAGTCTCAAATATGAGACAGTAAAATATGGTCGCGAGTCCCAAGGGAGTGGTACCCGAGAAAGACTGCGCTGGCAAGAGCCAGCAGCATATAAAATAGACAAACCCATCCTCTCGTCAGAGAGGGCGCCCCACAAAAATAAGACCGTAACTGTCAAATATATGATCATGAGCCCCAGATGGGGCTCGACACAAAAGTTTACTGACAGTTAGTCGCAATGTGACTTTGACTTTGGCTTTGAATTCGTGTTCTCTAATTATCTTAAATGCTGTTAATCTGTCACCAGGAAATGCCTCTACAATTGTGGGGCGTGCCCCAATTTGCACAGTTGAGTGAGACGAGAAGCAGTGGAAACACGCCCTTGGAGTCAATATTCATGTGGAAGGTATGCATTCATGTGGCATGTGGTATGAAAATTGGAGAGCCGATCATAGACAATTGCAATGCAATCGCGTTCTTAATTCAGCAAGTTCGAGGAAGTAAATAAGTACCAAATTCTGTCACTCTTTAACAATGCAGGCTCAATTTCGTGGCAAGAAATCGTTTTCACTTGTGACTTGTCATGTGACACGTCATTTTTTAATTAAAAATGAGTGCTGTGGAAATGGCACGATTACATAAACACATTTTGTTAAGGTGTCCATGATTTTCAAAATGAATGTGGCAAAACTTTATTGACCAATTTGTCCTTCCACTCTTTCCACTTTTAAGCATAACTCTAATAACATTTCACAATTGTTACTCAGGGAACACGGCAGCGTAGTTGGATGAGGCACTATGCTACAAGCCGGAAGGTCGCGGGATCGAATCCAAATGAGGTGGATTTCTTCAATTTAGCTAATCCTTCCAGCTGCGCTGGGGTCGACTCAGCCTCTAACAGAAATGAGTACCAGGAATCTTCCTAGGTGTAAAGAGCGGCCGGCGCGTAAGGGCGACAACCTTAGAGCCATCTATGAGCCGATTGCCTAGAAAATGTGGGAACATCATCAACTCACAACCCTATGAGCCTCCACGACCTGCTACAGGGATACCTTTACTTACTTTTGAGTAATCGAGCGTAATCCTAGCCCCCAAAAGTCACTATAGATAAATAAGTATACCCAGTTGAACTTAAAGAATATTTTAAAAATCTCTCTTCCTCAGAATCCATTGTAGACTTTCCGCCTGACGAAATTTCCTTGT